GTGGTTTTACTCTATCGCAGATTTATTTGTAGGCATGCCTTAAAATGTATGCGGGCTTCTGCAGACAATAGGCCATTCTGTTGGTGGGACAGGTTTCAGTCGTTGGTTTACCCATTTGATTTAATACACGGGACGCTATCGGCGGATGGCTGAGAAGCTACTCAATCAGAGTATACCTGATGATAGTGCTCTTATTTTAGAAGTATGAAACTAAGAGCAGAGGAATAAACGAACACAGTACTGTATACTACTGTAGAAATAAAATTCAAAAGAAGGAGACGCGATCACTGGAACATGAGTTTCATTTTCCTGATGTTTTGGATTCTGTTGAGAATCCTTAATCATAGGTAATGTTAGGATAGTATGAGTCATGCGCGGGTAGAGTGAAACATGCACAGATTGCACGGTTTTTATAGTTCGTGGTGGTCATCCGCATGCGTACTATAATTATCAGCCCCCTGTAGCCACCGCTAGGAGTCATAATTGGTGCGGTGATGGCTTGACACTTCACGTTGGACTGATTTATTGCCCCAATTTCGTTGTCCGTGTTTTGTATACGGGCTTGATAATTGCGCGACAATTATTCTCGCTTTCGTCAGAGTTGTTGCTGGGCCCGGTCCTTCCCACGTGACTGATTCTCTTGTTCAGACAATGTCTCAGTACGCAGTATGGGAACGGCAACTCGTTGCGCTTGCTGATGAACTGGGAGTCTGAGAAACATGATTCGAGCAGCTCGAGGCTCACACAGTTGTCACCTCTTGCGAGGATTTTTGCCTCGGTAAACTTGAAAATATGGCCGAGTCCTGTCGAGTGAGCTGCAACCTGGGAGTTAGCGTCCTTCTTCCTCACCGCCACTGCGTGCTCGGTCATTCGCGTCCGGAGTAATCTTCCGGTATCTCCGACGTAGTTGCTTTGTCCACAACTGCACCCGATTCCTGCTGTAGCAAAGGGCCTTTTGGTCTCAGGACCCGGCGCTTGATGATTTTTTCTGGCCTGTGTGCAATTTTAACTCCAAGCGTGGTGGGCAGGCTGCTGACTGCTTCCGATAACTTCTTCACGTAAGGAAGAGCTCGCCAAATCTTTGGGCCAGTTGGATGTGGTTTCTTCTTTCGTTTGCGTATGCACTGGTTGACAAAAGTGTGCGGGTAACCATTAGCTCTCAGTACACGTCAAAGATTTTGTAATTCAGCAACTTTGTCTTCCACTTCGCTGGAATGCGTCTCAACGCGACGGTATAGCGCTCTTACGAAGCTGAATTTGTGACTGATCGGGTGATTTTTCTTAGAGGTCAGGACTTGCATAGTGTTAGT